CGTTGTTTTTCGGAGCCATGGCATTCATTCGATGCTTCTTTTTTTTTCATTGGGGAGAGGGCAATGCCACGCTGTGTTGGTAGCAGAAGACGAGAGCGAAGAAGGGAATGACAGCTGTGGCTGAGTAAAACAGTCCTCTACTTCGAGTTCCTGCCTATCGTTTCCTCTCGCGACAATATATTGTAAGAATTCATTGGACGTCATCCTCATCTGTCAATAACCATCTTCAGTCTTCACCCGTTCCTCTTCATCATCGGAGCCATTTTGCTGTTGCTTGAATAAAGCGTCAGCTGAACCCGTGGTATTTCAAGTGGTGGAAGGTGCTTCCCGATCTCTTCGACCTCTCTCCATCCAAATCCAGCTCCTGGAGCTCCGTTCGGGACGTCGCTTACGCCAGCAGACCACCATGGCGCAAGAGCAAGCCCAACCGAACCACCCGCCGGCTCAACCACCCACCGCCAACCCTAGCCCGGTCAACAACCCCCCTCGGGAGCCTCCAAAATTCTCCGGTCTGCCTGGCGGAAATGTCGAAGACTGGCTCGACAACTATGGCCGCGTAGGTGTCTACAACAACTGGAACGAGGCATCAAAATTAGCACGCGCCCAGTTTTACGTCTCTCAGGTTGCCAAGACGTGGTTCCTAAATCATGAGAGCGACTTCCGCGATTGGTCTTCCTTCAAAGACCAGCTCCGACGCATTTTCGGCACACCGACCGTCCGTTCAGAAGTTGCTCGGAAGAAATTGGCAGAACGTGTTCAACATTGCGGTGAGTTCTACACTTCCTATATTGAGGATGTGCTTGCACTTTGCCGCCGTGTCAACGACACCATGCCAGAAGGTGATCGTGTCCGGCACCTTTTGAAGGGTATCGGACCTACCGCTTTCAACGCCCTCGTCGCGTACAACCCTTCGACAGTTTCCGACGTCGTCTCTGCATGCCAGCGGCTTGATACCTTGCAGCCAATCCGCCTGCGACCCGACTTCTCTGAGAACCCCCTGGCAAACAGTATGGAGCTCCGATCTATCATTCCAACCATAATTCGTGAGGAACTGCAAGCCTACAGTTTACCTCCTTCTCACAACGTTCCCGCTCAACCCGCTTCTAGCGATCTGCGTGGCATTATTAGGGAAGAAATGTCAGCGTTTCAAAGCACCCACCGTGCTTCACCATGCACCCAACCCGCTTCGTATGCACAGATCGCTTCAATGCAACCCTCGCCGTCTCAAGTACCACCACCTGTGCCTGATCACGAACATCTTGCACCTCTAGTCGCCGTCCACCGAATTCTACCTACCATTCTTCCTGGCGGGCCCCACGGCCTATTTGCTACTACTGCGGAATTCGAGGACACATTTCCCGGGTCTGTCGACGTCGGCAGCAAGATGAACGTCGTGGTTATGCCGCTTTTGAACGAGACGACACATGTGCACGAGGTTACTTCCGTTATGGCGACAGTCCTTCCAACCACCGATCCCCGTCTCCTATGCGCATTTCCAACACGACCAACAATACACGTGCCTCCCGACCACGCTCCCCTTCGCCACGCCGACGCTCTGTTTCACCCCTTCGGCCTGTCTCTCAACTGGCTGCCCAGCGATCGGAAAACTAAACAGTGCAGTTTTTGGAGGGAAAACTGCATCGCGGCGAAATGTCACAAGTCCTCCTGAACGACCGTCAAACATGTTATCGGTAACTGTGCACCGTGTACGGGTGTTGGCTTTGGTGGACACGGGAGCAACTATTTCAGTTATGCGTGCCTACTTGTGTTCTGGATTGCGGAAAGTGAAGACACCCTACCTTGGATCATTTTTGATTGGGGCCAATGGAGCAATAATTAGACCATCATCCCAATGTACAGCGCGTGTCTTCATTGATGGTATTCGTCACCACATCACCTTCGCTGTCTTAATTTCATGTGCTCATGAACTAATTTTAGGTTGGGACTTTCTCTCATCAGCATCTGCATTAATTTCTTGCCGTCAACGTGTAGTCGAGATGACCGAGACCGATCACTGCAGCGAACGTGTCGACGAGAAACCATTGCGTTTTTTCACAGCTTCGGATACCATACTGCTCCCGGGTCAGGAGCAACTCATCGCCATCACTTCTTCGAATATTGCCAATGGTGACGTCCTTATCCCCCCTTCCAGCCACTGTCTAGCTCGCGGCGTTGTAGTCCCCTCCAGCCTGGTGCGGTTCAAAGACAGTGCTGCGATAATCCTTGGCCTGAACCCTACCCCGGAGCCTGTCCTCCTACCTCAAGGTTCTGCATTGTCTAGTTATGTGGATATCAAGCCAGTATCTTTGGTCTCTCTTGACGCCTTGACAGCTCAGCCACAACAGGCCTGGTCTGTTACTTCCTCCTCCTTTGCTCCCGGTATAAATCCTGACCTTTCGGCTTCTCAACGTGAGGCGTTGCTAAATTTGCTAACAAAACACCAGGCCTTCTTTGACGCCAAGGCTTCGGCACTAGGACAAACCGCAGTTGCGCATCATCGCATCGACACTGGAGGTCAGACTGTTGTACGCCGTCGTCCCTACCGAGTCTCCTTGGCCGAGCGCAATATCATCGACGAGAACATGACTGATATGCTAAAAAGAAACATCATACGACCCTCTACCAGTTCTTGGTCATCACCCGTTGTCTTGGTACAAAAGAAGGATGGATTGGTACGTTTTTGTTTACCCGAAACAAGATTACCCGAAAGGATGTATATCCGATGCCCCGTATAGATGATGCACTTGACTCATTGCAAGGCGCCCAATACTTCTCCACCCTCGACCTTCGGTCCGGGTATTGGCAAATACCAATGAATGAAGCAGACAAAAAAAGACCACCTTTTCTACGCCGGACGGTCTTTACGAGTTTAACGTAATGCCATTCGGCCTATGTAATGCTCCCGCCACATTTGAAAGGATGATCGACACTGTTCTTCGTGGCCTCAAGTGGAAAACTTGTCTATGCTACCTCGATGATATCGTCGTGTTTTCTTCCACTTTTGCTGATCATCTGCAACGCCTAGATCAAGTGCTCACATGTCTCTCCAATGCTGGACTTCAACTAAACACAAAGAAGTGCCATTTCGGCAACACAGCTATAAGAGTTCTAGGACATCTCGTTAGTAAAGATGGCATCCAGTCCGATTCGGACAAAATTTCCGCAGTCCTCAACTTTACGCGACCCTTTCGTTCCAAAGAACTACGCAGTTTCCTTGGACTCGCATCGTACTTTCGCCGCTTCATTCGCAACTTTGCCACTATTGCCGCTCCTCTCTTCAAGCTCCTTGCTAGTACCGGTTCCTTCGACTGGAATAATCAATGCGAAGCCTCGTTTCAAGAGCTCAAGCAGGCACTCACAAGCTGTTGGCTTAGCGTATGGTACCGAAGCTACCACACTTGTTTACGCGGCGCCGACCAACGGAGGAGAGACCTTTCCGGCGTGCACGTGACTCGACCTCCCGATTCTCGCAGCCCCAGAGAACACGTGCCATATATATATATATATATATATATATATATATATATATATATATATATATATATATATATATATATATATATATATATATATATATCGAAAGCACTAAGACATTAATCATAGTTACGTTAAATGTTACTTTCATTTTCTTGATGCGTGTGCGTCCACCCCGTCCTTATTTTGCACTGCAGCCGTGCAAATGCCGCAGTTTTCGTCATCCTATTACTTCATTTTCCAGGCGGTTCCAGCGCGCCAAACTCCCTACCATAGAGTTTCTCAATATACACTAGAGGGAACTCTGGCGCTAGTGTCTAAGGGAGCTGCAACACATGGCGCTTCAGCGAGCATGGGAATGATGGGTAGCACACACATTTGCCTAATTTTCGTACTTCTGGCCTGCTTTTGGCTCCGTGTGTGTTCGTGTGGCTTGAAGCTGTTTTTTCATGAAGACATAAATTAGCAAATGTTCACCGTTTCCGCTTCACAACCTAATTCTTTTAGGCTTACCATTTTGAATCAAGTCACTAAGTTGAAAAGGGTTTGTTTTTTCTTTCAAAACAAAACCGTAACAAGCAATAAACAAAGCCGCAAGTACGATTCGCCGCCCGCAAGTACGAAGACTAGGCAAATGTGTGAACTACCCATCATTCCCATCGTCGCTGAATGATCGCAGCGCCAGAGTGCCCTCTAGTTAATTTTGGGAAACTCTATGCTCCCTACTACTTGTCCCATGATCCGAATTTTAATATGTTCAAAGGAAAAGGAGCGGGCATAAACGTTTCCTATAAAATAGCTGCAAAAACAAGGGTGACCAACAGTTCGGTGGCAATGTGATGAGGGCCTAAGCCAAGCTCTTAGTCATTATCACGGGCCAGCGCGCCGGGGGGGGGGGGGAGTGCTGTGTCCGCCATCAAGCAGCCAGGAGGTGGCCCGAGCACCGCAGCCCCCCAGTACTCTACGCCTACGCAACGGTCTCTTTTGGCGTAGACATTAAGAAGGCTAGATCATAAGGAGCTCCGCCACTGAAATCTATAGCAGTTATTCCGTGTTATTCTATACAACCGATGAGCGAAGCTCCTTAGAAATGGGACGCAATCGACTACGCACCTGATCTAGCAGCCGGCTTTCAGGAAGGCTGTAGGTTGGGGAGAGTGTCTGCTGCGCTCGGGGGTGGGAACGGCTGAGCCTGACCTCTGAAATGGGGGGCACGCGGCGGGTTTCCCGCCGAGCACTCTTATCTCAGAGGCCATGGACTAAGCGAGTGAGTGCGCAGCACTCCCGCTGTGCTAAGGGCGCGGTGCGCCTACCCAGCGCAGGGAACTACGATGTCGGAGTACGGGCCTAAGAAACTTCACTTCTAAAAAAATGAAATGCAGAGGCGTTTATGATTGTAAAATTGTATGCGGTGGTATAAAACAATCAATATTCTCGTAAGAATACATAAGTTCAAAAGAAAGAGCACCAAAAACGCGATAATCTATCAACGAAAAGGAAACGCGAAAATAAAATAAATGCGACGCTCAGGCAGGCATAGGAAGATCGTTTTCGTGGGTGGGCCTTCTCAGAAAAAGTGACTTGATGGAGCTGGCGGTCACGATGATGCACCACAGGACCACGACTGCAGCGCAAGCGCCGGCCACCAGGTAGTAGAGGCCGTTGTACGAGCCTTGCTTGTCCTTGAAGTAGCCTGCGAAGCATCGAATTGATATCGCTACTGCTCCTCTGAACCTCACTGGGCTTTCTTGGCAGCACTCACGCTCACAGTCGAAATTGCTCTTTGGGCCTTCATGTGCCTAAGCACACCACAAGAACACAACAGAGACTCACACACACAGATCACTAGGTGGGTCTCCCTTTTACGTCGCTGTCGTGGTGCGATACAGCCATATGAATGATGAAACTTAACGAACTAGCCCGGCGACGTGACTTGGCAAGCTCTTTGGGCGTGTGGCAATATTATTTCAGTGCTACGAAAGTGCCGTCAATTCCCGGGTGTACGTTCGTGCGCGTGTCTTTCGCACGTTTTGCGCCGACACAAAGATGCGAAATTGGAACATTTCGTGGGGGTTTTTGAACGTTCCCAGCACAGGCGTGCGCAGCGTACAACCTCCTCTCCTCTTGCCCTCCGTCGGTCGAGTCTCGACAAAAAACAGTTCCGAAACGGCTTCAAAACGAAGTGGGCAAGTGCGTCTCACGAAGGGCTGCACTATTCCTGTCTTTCAGAGGTCAAGGTGAGAAATAGTTCTTTTAATGCAACATCAGGTATTATTGTTCGCCGTTAACAAAAAAAAAAGACAAATATAGCAATGGCTTAGCTCGGCAGTGCCAAGATATCCGTAGCGTGAGCTACGGAGGGACGCACAAAGCATGAATGAACAGACGGACGGATAGACGGACGGACAGACAGGTGGACTAGCGTTCGAGCCTTCTCACGCGAGTCAAGTGCCAGCACCGCACCATGTGACGTCACCGCTCCCCACGCTTGCGCAGAACTGCTCACCGTAAGCCACGCGAAACTGCTCAACCTCGGCCAGTGTAGCTCACGCTACAAAAACTAAATATAATAAAAAATTCGGGGGAGGCTTCAGCTTAGTAGAACGCGACAGCGTAATCGCGTCCCATGCGCACTGTTACGCAACATTTGAGCGTGTAACAATTGGCCACCTAAGCTACCACTGCTGTAGATGCAAGTGCTAAAGCGTCGTAATTCTTCCTCTTGCAAATATCCACAACACATCAAATTGCCACCTAAGTAGCTTTGCCACTTTGTGACGAGTGGGCAGTAGGCAGCCACTCGTTGCGCTATTCTCACCTTTTGGTTCCCGATGCGACTACAACGCAATAATGCGTGCGTTAAGAAAACTTCGCCCAGCACATGAAATTATTACAGTTTTTATTTTCGCAGAAGCTGTTTTAAGCACTGGAGTGTCTGTGTGATAGAGCATCTGCTTGCCACGCAGAAGGCCTAGGTTTGATTTTCATCGGGAAGGAATATTGCTCATTTATTTCCCTGCGCCCATCTCGAACATTCGCTAACGCACAACGCTGCATTTCTCGCTCATAACCAGCGATACAACCGCGGACATCGGAACTTCAGCGAAACAAGCTCTTCGACGATATATGCCACTGAAATATGCGCAACCATAACCCCGTGCATTAAAAATGCTGTAAAACGTAATGACTTGAAATTGCGGCAATTACGTGAGTGAAATTACATGAACGGTCCGATTGAGTGAAGGTGTGCGACAGAAAAGGCGCCCCACTCTTGTGCCCCAAGATGATTTGGGGCACACATCCCCCCCCCCCTTCTCTTGCTTGCTCTCATGGCAGTAATTGTCTACTTACTCCTATGGCAGTAATTGTCGGAACACTCAATTCGGTTCACTGCGCGTGTTGCCCAGGGCAAACGCACTTAAGGCCTGCACCCTCGTATCCGTCGCAGCGCGTCGACGCGTGTCTTTTTGACGCGGCGTCAAGCCCCTTCCCACACAGAGAGTGAGAGTGCGGCGGCTTCGCGTCGCCACGCACCCACTCTCTCTATATAGAAAGGGCGCCGCGTAGTGTCAGACGTCGACGCGCTGCAACGGGTACGTGGGGTCAGGCCTTTATGCTCTCACCGATGAGCACAGGCCTGAAGAGCGTCGCCATTCCCATGGTGAGCCGGTGCAGACCGAACGCGAGCGGCAGGTGTTCGTCGCCCAGGTGGTCGGCTATTAGCACGGGCATCGACGCTATTGTTGGGCCGTTGTTCAGGCCGAACACCAATCCCACCACCGCCATGTAAGCCACGGTGGTCAGGTTAGCTAACAGCACGTAGCACACGCCCTGCAATGCAACAGTTTTGAGGGCAAAACGTATACAGTTACAGGGACGTAAAGCCGAAATATTCACGATGTGGGACAAACGTCAATTTGGATTAGTTCGCTGTGTGAAATATGTCCATGATGTGAGGCATAAGAAGGCTCACATGTCTCCTGACGAGGCCTTCTCCCCGGACTTACATGTCCGATAGTATGAACAAAATCGCTGAGAACGTGTCAATTATAGAAAAAAATACACTGTTCATTACCCTATATGCAAACGAGAATGAAAATAAAAAGAAAACTCTTTGACATTAATATAAGGAAAAAAGTTTATACAAACTGTAACAGTGGAAGTAATAGTCTTAGCATATAAAGCACGTACAATATAAAGCAAAAGGTAAACATCATTATTTTGTGATACATAATTGAAAAGTTATATGCTTGAAGGAGACATGAGAAGTAGAAGTACAAGTGCTTTCATCGGCCAGTGTGGTTCAAAATGGGTATACATTACACAACAACATTATCTGATAATCTAAAGTTTTAGAGCCGCAGTTAGTTCTTGGTCTTGATCCCGTCAGCGATGTAGTGCGTAGGTCGTATCCCACTTGTCTCAGCACCGATCAGCAGCCACTTTTTTGAAAGAAATGTAGGTTTGATTTTAGTATTTAGAAATTCAAGTCATGATTTCAAAATAAAACTGACAACTGGCAAAGCGAGACCTGAGCCGCGAGAGGCCTGAAACAACGAAGCAGTCTTGAGGGCTATGGTTTCGTCTACGTTATTTCTCTACGTGACGTGGGTTAGAGGTTGCTTTTAGGTCGCTGCTATGCTCTAGAGGTGATGACGCAGGTTGTTTTTAAGCTGATTATACGCAGGGAGGTTAGAGCCACAAACTCTGGAGACGGAACCTCAACGCTGAAACAAAACGTGCGCACCTCTCAGAAACCTATACGGACACGTCGGCGGCGGCGTAAGCCTTCCATCGCTTCGAGGCCTTTTCGCAGCCACCATTTCCTTTCCCGCTACCTAGCATTCTTGTGCAAACTCCGAGCTTTCGGCTTGCCTTTGTTGCTTCAGCTCCGTTTGTTGGGCCAACTGCAATCGCCTTTATCGAGAAACCTCAAGGCTATCTGATGGGTCACATTTCCAAGCACCTTTAGAGGGTCGTCCTCTTCGGCTTCTTTATGACAGAGCGCTGCTAGCTAGAGCTGAGAGTCTGTAATCTGCCTTGACTGTCGCCACTGTCCATTGTCGTTGATCGTAGATGTCAAACGCCCTTACACTGTCTTCATTTCTAGTGAACCCGGAGTGACCGGTCCCTGTTTATGTTGTCCGTACTCTTTGAAAATGATGATAGTTATTCCTAAAGACCTTTACTGTTAACAGTCACCTTGGGTCTCGTCGCCAGATCAGGGAGCTTAACCTGACAGAGCGGCCACAAAATGAATGGTACGTTGTGGAAGCTATAGTTTCTGTGTGACTCATATAGGTGGGATCTAGCATATCTATATTTGATATATCACTCAGGTTAAACGATCAAGTGAACATGCCAGTACATTTTTATGTTACTTTCGAATGACCCCTTTTGTTATCTTCAGCTGCACATCCGTTCCCCATCGTTATATGCCTCCTCCATTGCCGAAGGGTTCGCTGCCCACATGCAGTCACCTATAGAGTTACTGTATTCAGTCACCTTGAGGACAGCGCTATCTATAGGTAAAGAGCGGAGGTGAGGAGCAGGGCATTGGGTAGTTTATTTGTTGCCCTTAACTTGCGGTCGTGTATATACAGGGTGTTTCAGCTAAAAAGCACCAAGCAATAAAAAAATTAAAAATGAGTGCCTCGCGTCCCCAGCTAGTCCAGTATTGTTTTTAGCTGTATGCAGCACGGCAGAATATTTGTTTTGACCCGCCAAGCACAGTAATTAACAGAAAATGCTTAATAAACTTTTTAAATACCGACTCTAGCAACAAAATTAGTACAAGACTAGTAGCTCTTATCCAGAAATGACAAAATTTTCAAGTTACGGCAAGATAACAAGGCTTATGTTTTTCTAGGATTCGTTTAAAGAGTGCGAAATATATATAAAAAAAACTACCATGTGATAGCCGCCTAACGCGCTGCACTTTTACTGCCCTCAAATGTAGGTTGAATGAATTAGCGAAGGCTTCTCACGCACGAAGGTTGCTTGAACAGGCTATCGGCGACTACGAGGGACACTAAGCGATGGCTGTAGGGTACCATTAAAAATAAAAATGGGCGGGGGAGAATGAAAGAAACGAACAGCAATAAACTTCGACAAAAATACGGCTGCTACGTGCATAGCGATACAAGACCGGAGGCAGCAATCGGTGCCGCGCAGACGTTTTTTTTTTCTTTTCGGGCCAACGATTAACATGATGCTACCTCAGGTCTCGTATCTGTCTTGTGTCGTCGCGCTCAAAAAATCTGAACATTCACGATACCTAAGCTGTTTCTATTTTGTCAGTCCCTTATTTGACCACCAGGATGCCCTCTGCTAGAAGAGTTTTTCTCGCTCAGCTTTCTATTAAATACCTGTACGGTGAAGTTGATGATGAGCATCCACTCGCGGGTGATGTAGTGCCGGTCCGTGAGGTAGCCCGTGCCGAGTCGGCTGACGAAGTCGCCGATGGCCATGGCCGAGACCAGCACGGCGCCGTCCTCGTTGCTGGCATGCGCCGCACCAACAGCGTGGTCCACTATCGTTATCGTGTAGGTGCTGAACACGTAGCCATACAACATACCGGTCGCCATCAGCGGCACGAACATCGGGTCGCGGAAGAAGCTGAACATCTGCGCGATCACATCCTCTCTTATTCGGTTGCAGGTGTCGGGCTCTCGTTATATCGCGTAAGAAAAGTATACAGAAGTGACGTGACTGACGGGAATGCACTTAATGGATAATTGCATCCGTATATGATAAATAACATACAGGTTTTGTGGGCGTACAAGGTTCCGTTGTATAGGACTGGAACGTATCTGGCCGCCATCGCCTCTTATCATTTCACGGCGCAGCTATAATAGTCGCACGAAGTGGTGCACACATCCCTTGCCCACCTTTACTATCCTCGCTTAAAAGCCCCTGCTTCCACGAGAATAATCATTTTTCGGATGCCTGCACTTGACTCGTTCTACTCAGGGATCGGAGCGCAAAGCTGGCGTGACGCTACGATGTGCCACTTCGGAGATAAGTCGGAGATAAACGTCAATCACAAACATAGATGTGAACACAGGAGGGAAAGTGAAAGTGACCCCCCCCCCCCTTGCCAGCAGTTTATATTGAATTAGTATGAAAAGAGGGCTCTGGATTGAACTTTTGGAAGGGGAACCCTGAGCACACCGATGAGCACACAGAATTAACTCGGATATAAGCTAACTATTAGAGGCACAGGCAATTGGGCGAATTTCTACTGATTTATATCGGTAGTGAAGAGAGCGAAACGGACAAGATATAAAAGACACAAACGAGCGTTCTCCTTCAAACTGAAGTTCATTCACAAAAGATGGCCAGGTTTTGTTTCCAATACATGGAAACGCATGCGTGTAACCCCAATTTAACAACCGAAGGACAACTATCACCTCAACGCTAAACGTAGAAAAAGCCGATTAACTACCTCGAGCACACTGAGTCCTTTTCTTGTATCTTGTCTGATTCGCGCTTCTAAATACCAACACGAAAGCTAAGCTTCTATTGGCCCTCATTTAACCGTTTTTTTCTTCTCGATGACCTGCCTATTCGTTGCTCCCACATTCGACACAGAGCAGCGGACGTATGCTTACGCAACACAGCTATTTGGACTGGTTGCAATCGGCTCTAGCATAAGAAGCGCGGGGACGCGGGGACGAAGCAGAGATCACACACACGGGAGAGGCGCTTCATTCCGCGCATGTCAGAGCTGCGCTTATTTTTTGCTTAGTCCCTGTGTCTTTTCTAGTGCTTCTTAAGTATATGCTGATGCTTTAGGCCCGTATTCACAAACGCTCCTCCACTTGACCCTTCACTCGAAACGCTCCTTAAGTGGCCTTTTCCCATTCACAAACCGCCCTTCACTTTAAACGCTTCCTTCACTTGAAAAAATCTTGAGTGTTTCCTCGAGATTGCCAAGGAAGCGATCGAGCTACCTTGAATCGCCCCTCGAGTGAAATATTTGCGCCAGCATCGGGTCCATGGCGGAGCCCGTCTCACTTTGACGGCGTTTCTCGATCAAGTAGGCTGCCACCGCCGCGTTCTTTCGACAATGACGGTGCGCGTTTACTACGGAGCTGTCTTCGAACGGTTCAGCAACGGCTACTGTGGTGCCGGGACAAGCGGGCGTGGTGTCAAAAGGAGCACTCACCAGTGTCAAAAGGAGCACTCACCAAGGAGCACTCACCAGTGTTGCGTTCCGTGCATGAGCCAGTGGATTACCTGCCTTTGGGTGTGTGTATACTCTTCGTGCGAGTGCTCCATGACTTACTGCGGATTCCAGTGCTTTGAAGTGTTTTGATGAAGTTCGCACACCGCATCAGTTCAAGCGGGGTGCAAAAGCTTGATAAGCAAGCGGCATAGCAAAGTTTTGATGCGCTGGGTTCACCGTACTTTAGAGTGGCTTCCTCTCCGGTGAACTTTTGCTGCCCTAGCCGAAATTTACGAAGAAGCACACCTCCGTTAGACGACCATCTGTACCAACGAGAAGGTAAGTTCTCCTGTGTTTTTTTATTTTTTTCCTGCTTCGATCAGATTACTATTAAAGACAGTTTAAAAAAAGCACAACACAATACATTGGGCGCAATGAGTGTGCTGCTGTAGCTACTACGCGTGAAACATAGCTTCTTTATACAGTGTCTATGCAGCTCACAATACCAATGAACAACCAAGTACACATTTAGGGGATCAAGCAGATGATCATGCTCTGTAAAACCTGCATGTACGCAAAAGTACGTCGAGTGTCGTATGAAAACGCAAACATATGAAATATAAATACAGCAGATACAAAATGAGATTGTTTTTTTTTTAATTTAACCCCATTTCTACCCCCCGAAGAAGAATATCTGGCTGTGGCACTGATTCGTGCAATTAGATAATGAAATTATATACCCATATGCCTGGTCAGCAGCCCAAGTGCCTGAGCCAAACATGTGTCAAAATAGTCAAAGCTATATACTTCAACCATGTCTGTTCTTGAACGCGAGACATACTAATGAATATGTGCACAGCTAGAAATAAAGAAAAATGCGGCTTTTGCATCCAAGCTATTACGTTTTTCTAATAATATTTCTTGCCTCTTTTGTGCAGGGGACCAGCTGCCGACAGAAGAACACAGAGAAAAGGCCTCCTAGAATCTGCCGTATTATCAATGCATTGCAGAGTTTGCACGACTGTATACAAAAGCACAAAAACAGCAGTGAATGCGTGCAGCTACACTGCATTAGGCGCGCTATGGTGTCTACTTCCTTAATCTTATTTGTGATGTCCTCCGAGCTCGTACTTTATCTTTACAGTGTGTAGGTTGCATATGTTTGATTGATGAACACTTTCCATTTGCATTCTTATGTTTGCCACGTTGCTCCTCATCAGCCACATTTAATAAAGGTCCATTTGCCATTCACAACTTCTGTTTTGTTCATTTATTAATACATAATTATCGTCGTGTTTGTCTTTTCGTGATGAGACAGGACTGCAAAAACCACTACTCCGATTCTACAGGAAAGCAGTTCTAGGAAAATTAAACTTGTTTTATATAAAGCAGCACCACTCCTCTTCCACGGAACTGAGATGGCGTGGTTCTAACTGATAGACTTGCTAATGATGCAGCAATAGCGGATATTTAATTTACAGGGTTCTGACCAGATGTATCCGCGATGACTGCAATACTCTTGAGCATTTTTCACCGCTTTGTTGCACTGGTCTTCAATAAATCAGCAGAATAATATACACTGCTCTTGACGACACTTTCTCGAAGGTTGAGAGAACCCATAGGATAGTTTTTAAAACAGAACAGCGCCAAAAGTGAGACGTGGCTTCAATTTTATGATTTCCAAAAAAATAAATAAAACATCCCCTATATTTATGTTGTGCCGGGGCTTTGGAATGCAGCACAGACACCACGATCCTTTCCAACAGGTATTTTCAGTAGTTATATTGCAAATAAAATCCAAAACATTAGTGCGAAGGTCATTCATGCACTAACGATTGTGCTTCTGAGCATGCAGATGAAGGCGACGGGAAAAAAATTTAAGACGTTGCCGCTGTGTGAACTTGGAGACGGAAGCTACACAAATATAAAGGTTACTTCTATGCGAATCTGTCAAATTAGACGCATCCACAAATGCAGGGCAAATCGAAAAACAATGCAAAAACAATAACTTATTTCTTGGAAGTTTAAAATGTTAAAGTTGACACACACACACACACCAGTCCTTGTTAACCGACTATATATGTTACTAAATGAAAACTTTAAAAATTTAAAATGTATTTTTCGCCAATAGTGAAAGAAAGGCACACGATCGCTTTTCTTAACTTGCGTAGCAGTCTAATTCGAACGCTCAGCCACGAGTATAACATGCCTAGTTTTTAACGCTACCCTGGTATAACCTTTAATATCAGTTGCGAGCAATGTCTTTCAAATTTCCTATTATACGCAGAAGAACTACTATGAAAGCGCCATGGTGAAATTCGCAGTAAATGAGAAAAATAAACATTGCACAGGCCCCTGAAATTAGGAACTGTGCACGTACTCCCGTAGCGAGAACGAATTTACGTACGAGTAATCCTTATACATAACGCGGTGGTGAATGCTAAGAGCACGCCAACATACTGTGATATATAGTAAAAAATACTCATTCCGCCGCGTTATACATTCGGTGGCTACATTAGTGATCAGAAGGCTCTCAGTAAAGCGAAAGTAAACAAAGCAACAAACCATCTATTGCGCTTCCTGTCATCACTCACGTAGTTCGTTAGTCACCCCGGCGAAAGTAGGCTCTCAAACGACACACACGCAAACACTACCGTAAATATAAACTGCAATTAATAGACGCATACAAGACAAAATAAACTAAGAAGGTAGACACGTTCAGCAGCAGACAAAATGCCATCAGCTGTTAGTTCAGCTGCCTGGGTTCGACTGTTGCCAGACTTGAAGGAGGGTTTCGCTAACTCTGTCAGCACAAGGCTTAGGGAAACAACACTACCACTCTAAATGCACGTATTTTGCTGTAATGTCAATTTAGAAAAGAGAATAACTAGAAAAGGCGTTCTCTTAATGTACATAGATAGGCAATTATTAACCACAATTGCGAATACTCTCGTTATCAGGCGCTTTTCTCGGCGCATGCAGTTCACTCAAGTGAAGGGAGCATTTCCAAGGCCTCCCTTGGCGAAGGAAGTGTGGAGGAGCGTTCATGAAACGCAGCGGCCCCTTGAGTGGAGGAGCACGCTCCACCTTGACTTCGTCAAGTCGAGGGGAGCCCTTGAGTGAAGGAGCGTTTGTGAATACAAGCCTTAGAATCTATACAGCTCTATCGTCTCAAGTTCACGCCTGTGTTATTGATGATTTGATTGATATGTGGTGTTTAACGTGCCGATACCGCCTGTGTTATTCCTTAAGGCAAAAAGCCTCAAGGGCCTTGTAGCGCGATGAATCAAGCCGAATACGGCAAGCGAATCGAGTTAACTAAAAGCCCACGTGACCTTCTCTTCGCGAGAGGGCGCATGCAGACGGAATCCAGGCAGTTCATTGATTCTTAGCTTAAGTCAAATCATGCTGCGATATCACACGTATCCGACAGAACTCCTAACTTGAACCATGAACCATCGATTACTATACTTGAGCAGGCTTTAATGAATAATCAGACAGGGAGAAGTATGTGCTCGGCCGCATATGCATGTAAGAAAAACGAGGCATCACTCTGTTAGGGTGGTGCCCATACTCATTCGGGTGATCATTTGAGAGCGTTGTGATTGTGTTTGAAAGTGGTGAAGAAATTCGAAAGCTTTAATGCTTCACAACCAAGACAATCAGGTATGCAGGCCATGTATGCAGACATGCACTTCATGTTAGTCCTTCAGTCATGTACTAGATTGGTTATTTTAGTTGGTAATCTCTTTAATTACAGCAGTTGTTGGTCTTTCACATTTTACACCTGTTGTGTTAGTTCCTTTTTCGCAGTTCGTGACAACCATCTTGCTCAAGCTAAAATGTTGGCTTGCATTATTTCAAATTAAAAATGATTCTGAGTACTTCGAGCGCTCAGATAGATAGATAAATAGATATCTGGGCTTTAACGTCCCAAAACCAGCATATGATTACGAGAGACGCCGTAGTGCAGGGCTGCGAAAATTTCGACCACCTGGCGTTTTTACCGTGCATTCTAGCGCTCAGAAACAACCATTTGAACGTACAACACTGGACAAGCGGAAGATCGCCACTAACCGAGCCACCCCCACGTCATTGAACTACATGGACTCGCAGACACGCAACGCAGTGGGGTCGTGCGTGCACACTGGGACGTACGTGGAGGGGGGAGTTTGTCAAACGTTGTCGGGTCTTTCTGCTGTAGGAATACATGAGATAGTGGCCTGGCAACTTTCGACCAGCTCTGTACGTGCCCGAATATCTTGGTAAAGCTTTACCCCTGTCCCCCGCCGCGGTGGTTTATTGGCTAAGTTACTTGGCTGCTGACCCGCAGGTCGCCAACGCTAGTTTTGCACTAGATGCGCAATCTCACCCCTCGATGACTTCGCCGTTGAGGTGCAGATGAGCGCGGCGGCAGAGAGGAAACGACGATGCCGCTATCCCACACCAGGAGGTCACTGATGATGTTCTTGCTCTGCGAGTTTTCGGTGCTGCTACAGCTCGTGGCGGTGCTGCTGAATATGGGGTGGTCTAGCGGCCTCGGGAAGCTGGGCGACGAGCGGAGTGCAATGGAGCCGGCCATCGCGTTGAGCATCAGAGCGCCCACGATGAGCATGGTGCCCTGCAGGCCGTACGTGTCCAGCAGCATCCCGATGAGCGGCGGCAGCAGGATGCTACTGAGCGCCCCTCCTGCGAAGCTCAGGCCACTCGCCGAGGCGCGGTACTCGTCGAAGTAGCGGTTCAGAACCACCACGCTCGTGGGGACCATGAGACCCGAGCCGGCACCTGAGCGCGCGATCCGAATGGAACGTTTTAATACGCCCTGTAATACGAAAGATAATTTGCGTATAGCGAAATAGCGGGAGTGAACTGCCAACTACCCCTCCACGAAAAACATGGCCGCATCACCGAAAGTGGTTGCCATCCGCAACAAGCCTACCATGCAAGATTCCCTTGAGTCATCTGTAACTCGTTAGCTCCGAACTGGTGTTTTTATTTGCTGACAAGTATAGTCCTTTAGAGACCCCTACAAGATCTGAGCATTTTGAGCTGACGAGCGCTATTGGCCTCAAGAACATACCCTGGTTCCACCTAAGCGATGACGTCACTCATAGGATGCCAGCTTGTGTTGTCTGCTAGAACACCACATTTTCTGCGCTTTTGCTGTGGACACCGTGCATGCTTTTCGTTGTTTTGAAGCTCATTGCTTAAAGAAGTGGTAAGACATGGTAAAAAGGGTAAGCAAACCACCAATGACACTCTCGTTTCTAATTTGCATCATAAAATCGTGACTAAGAAACAGTGCAGCCACGGGGGGCGATACAAGTGGTGTCGCGAAAGCAAAGCTGCCGTATTCCACAACTACTATCCTCTCTGTGACGTCAAAACGATCATTAGGAAGGGACCTTCCCTCGGGACGGCTTCATGCTCTCCCATAGTAGAGTACCCAGTACTCTAAATCGTTAACCACTTGTTCTAAACTCCACACTCGCCTTTCAAGTGGAGACCCTCGCGACCAATAGATACACTCGGCATTGCCCATTACGTGAATGGACGGAAACAACTTTATTTATACGTCCTATACAGGGTGTAGCGACCTGCCTGGCTAATCCCACGTTGGGACTGGGAGGTCAAGCCTCCTAGCCCTGTCATGGGCGTACTGGACAGCCAGGACTTGGGGGATATGGTCGTGAGACTATCATTCTTGTAAACCGTTCCCGGGAAATGCCACGGCCAAGCGACCCACATTCCCAGAGCATATCGTTACGCACAAGGAGGACCAGGACGTATACGGCTGAAGGGGGCCGTTTATTTTGGTCGCGAAGAGGAGCGCCGGAGCCGCCAACAGGTTGATGATCGCAGTGTCGTCGTCTTCCTTCTTCCTCCAGCTTCGGTCAGCCAGCCTGTTTACCGATCTTCGTTTTCTTCCCAGGCATGCGCAACATCCCTCCCCTCGCAGACGAAGCCCGCCGGGCGAGGTAACTGATTCACCTTGGTGTGCACAACTTCAGTCGGGCGACATGGACTGCTTGGGTTTTAGTGGCTCTTCTACCACTTCTCGTGAGGTGAGCTATTGTGTATGTGACTTCCGTGATTTTGTCGAGAACAACAAACGGTCCGTCGTATGTGGCCAAGAACTTTTGGCATAACCCGCGTCTTCGTACCGAAGTCCACAGCCACACTAAGTCACCTGGATGGTAAGTTACGGGCCGGTGGCGGACGTCATAGCGTATCTTCGATTTTCTGATGCCAAAGTGCGTAGACAAGCAATACGACGCGCCTCTTCTGCAAGGCAGAGGATTTCGGTGACAGAGAGGTTCTCGTGCGCCGAGAATGGCAAAAGTGTGTCGAGTGTGTGCCGTGGCGGTCGTGCGTAGATCAAGAAAAAGGGGCTATAGCCTGTTGTCTCGTGCTTAGCGGTGTTGAACGCGTACGTTATAAATGGTAGCACGTCATCCCAGTTCTTGTGGTCGGATGCCACATACATAGAGAGCATGTTTACAATTGTTCGGTTGGTGTGCTCCGTGAGCCCATTTGTTTGTGGATGGTATGGCGACGAGTGACGAAGGCGGGACTCACTCAATCGAAGCAGCTCTTCTACTATATCTGCCGTAAATTGTCGCCCACGATCAGTGATGATCACGTGAGGTGGGCCATGTCGGAAGATAACGTGCTGCAGCAGGAACACAGAGACGTCGCAGGCAGTTGCGGTTGGTATGGCCACCGTCTCACAGTAGCGCGTGAGGTAATCGACACATACAATTATCCAGCGATTGCCCTTAACCGACTTTGGAAAAGGGCCCACGAGGTCAATGCCCACCTGTTGGAAAGTTGTGCTTGGAGGTGGCAAGGGCTGTAGAAGACCAGCCGGAGCAGTAGATGGGCGTTTGTGGCGTTGACACTGTGTGCAGCTGGCCACATACGCCTCGACTGACTGTCGCATTCCTGGCCAATAAAAGCGTTCCTTAGCACGGTAAAGCGTCCGTGCAGAACCTAAATGTCCGGACGTAGGATCGTCGTGCATAGCACCTAGAATCGCTGTTCGAAGGCTTTATGGCACTACCAGGAGGATACGTGCGCCAGTGCTGGAAAAGTTCTTCTTATATAGGAGTCCGTTGCGTACACAGAAATGGCATGCCGTAGGAGCTGTGCAAAGCAATGATAGCCTAGTGTCCTTTCGCTGTTCATCTTTGAAAGTACTGAGGTCGGGAAACTTTTGTGACACAGAAGCTACGAGATGGTCGAGGTCATCGGCATCACACTCTGTAGTGCTCAGTGGCATGCGCGAAAGGCAATCTGCGTCGGCGTGTCGTCGACCACTTTTGTACGAGACAATGAAGTTATACTCTTGGAGCTGAAGTGCCCAGCGCGCTAGACGGCCACAAGGATCCCGAAGGTTGACGAGCCAACACAATGAGTGGTGGTCGGTGACGACTGTAAAAGGGCGTCCATATATGTAAGACCGAAACCGCTGAATCGCAAATACTACCGCGAGGCATTCTTGTTCTGTGACAGTGTAATTCTGCTCGGGCCTACTCGAGGAGCGACTTGCGTATGCAATCACGTGCTCGCGGTTACCATAGCGTTGAACTAGGACGGCACCAATTCCTATGCCGCTGGCATCTGTGTGCAGTTCGGTTGGAGCTGATGGGTTGAAGTGTTGAAGAACAGGCCGCGACGTCAGGAGGAACTTCAGTTGACGAAAAAAGGAGTCGCACTCCGGAGTCCACTCGAAGGGAGTATTCTTCCGTAGCAAACATGTCAGCGGATACGCGACATCGGCAAATTTAGGTATAAAGCGGCGAAACTAGGAGCAAAGCCCCCAAAAACTGCGGAGCTCCTTCACAGAGCGCGGCACATTGAACATTTCAACGGCTGCTGTCTTCTGGGGATCTGGACGCATGCCCTCCTGATCGACTAGGTGTCCGAGAACAAGGGTTTGTCGGTCTCCGAAGTGGCATTTATTTGAGTTAAGAACAAGGCCAGCGTTTCTTATGCAAGTCAGTACAGTATCCGGATGTGAATTGTGTTCGCTGAAGGTGCGGCCAAAGATGACGACGTCGTCGAGATAGCACATGCAAATGCTCCACTTCAAGCCACGAAGAACAGTGTCCATAAATTGTTCGAACGTCGCCGGCGCGTTGCACAGTCCAAATGGCATCACGTTGAATTCAAAAAGGCCGTCAGGGTTTACAAAGGCTGTCTTTTCTTTATCTTCAGGATGCATGAGAATTTGCCAGTAGCCCGATCTTAAGTCTCCAGAGGAAAAGTAAGAGGCCGAATGCAGACAGTCTATGGCATCATCAATACGTGGAAGTGGGTACACGTCTTTTTTTGTTACAGCATCCAATCGGCGATAATCGACGCAAAATCTCCAGGATCCGTCTTTCTTTTTAATGAGAATTACTGGAGCTGCCCACGGACTTACCGACTCTTGAATGATACCGTTTTCAATCATTTCGTTCACCTGCTCATTAATAATCCGCCGCTCGGATGGTGAAACACGGTATGGCTTTTGTCTAATCGGATTGGCCAAACCCGTGTGGATAGTGTGACATGTCCGAGAAGCAGGGATTAGGGACGCTTTGTCTTTCTGCGCAAAGTCGAATGCAGAGACGTGCTTCGAATGTACATGGACTAATGTTCGGCGTTCACTTGTGCTCAGCGACTTATTCATCATTGACAGAAGAGCCGTTTCAAAACTGTGACTACGATGCTCTTCCGGCGCATCTCTAAGCTGGGTCACCAGTAAGGCCTCGTGTTGTCCACTGACGACGGCTAACTTTAGACCATCTGGCAACATCACGGGTTCTGTAGAGCAATTGACAGTCCATAAACCAGCGCGTCCACGTCTGATCGACACCACACAATGTGGGATCAACATATTCTTTTTCATGCAATTGGTGTACACTGGTTCTACGTTAGCATCAAAGTTGGCGAAATAGCTGTCGCTGCAACCAACAGGTACACGAACGGTTGATAACGGTGGTATGATAGTGTCGCCACATACACACAATGCCGTCTCACCATCCACAGGATTTTCCAAGAGTGCTGGCGGAACGTCTTCACTCAAGACTATTGTCCCTGTGCAGCAGTCGACAGTCGCACCGCACTCCCTCAAAAAGTCCATACCCAAAATAACATCATGTGTCGCCTGCGGAATAATCACGAACTCCGTTGGGATAACGCGGCCTCCGAGAAACACGTCAGCTTGACACACACCAACAGGATGCAGTGCCTCACCACTCACTCCGCAAAACTTCGAAGCTGGATTCCACTTAAATAAAACCTTCCGCCCTAAGGTATCTTTAAAACACGCACTCATGACCGAAATGGTTGCCCCCGTATCCACCAAAGCCATCATAGGCACATCGTCAACAAAAACACGTACTTTGTTCTTGAGCATCAACACAGGAGGTATTTCAGATATTAGCACGTCTCCGGCGACCTCACCTCCATCGGCCGCGCTTGCTAGTTTTGCTGTGGCAAAGGAGACGTGTTGCGACGCCGTGGTGAAGGAGAACGGGGAACACGAGGCGGTAGAGGCGTCAAGCTCCTGTCAGATGTGGGGGAGTGGTTCCGGAAGCTGCGTGTCCAGTAGTCTTCACGAGGCAGCAGGTGTGTTGCCCTAGGGTCGTCGTGCGGTCGATCAGGCGATCGTGTGAAGTGTTGAGGTGGGCCATGGTACATTTCTCGAGGGTCGTCGCGAATTCGTTCGGAAGGCCGTGCAAAGTGTGGTGGGTGGCCATACCGTGGGGCTACACGTCGACGGTTGCAAAATCGCGAAATATGTCCTGGAACACCACAGCAGTAGCAAACCATGAGAGGTCGAAATTCTGTTTGTTCGTCAATGAATCGAACATCGTCTTCCCTGGCGTAGTGGTTTGGTTCGTCCCGTATATCAGAAGGATAGACCGGGCGTCACGAAGAAGGTGGACGCTGAGGGCGCCGGTCATGGCGAGAAGCTGGCAAGCGTGGTGCTCTCCTTGGTTGTGCGGGTGCGCTGTACTCAACAGCTGCTGCACTGACCATCGATTGCCAAGGGTTCGTAGAAGGCGGAGGCGCAGGTATAGCCTCACGTGGCACATATACCGAATGTTGGTCGTTTATAGAATGGTGATCAACTGCTGAGTGTGTCTGTTCTCTATAGCGAAAAAGTTCTTCGCGAACGATCTGACGAATTGTCGAGGACAGGTCTGGGCAGGAGCTCGTGTCGATGCTGGCAACCGTTGTAACATTTGTGAGCCGGCCGAACTTTGGAGCAATCCTGCGCATTTTCAGCTGTTCGAAAGTTCGGCAATGCCGAATCACGTCAGACACCGAGCTCAGATACTCTTTTCCGATGAGAAAATTATAGACATCTTTGGCTATGCCTTTCAGCAAATGCCCTACTTTGTCTTCTTCTGACATCTGATCATTGACCACCTTGCAGAGCTTCAGCACATCCTCTATATACGCGGTACATGTCTCACCTGGTAGCTGCGCGCGTTGAGACAATGTCTGCTCAGCCCGCTTTCTTTTGATGCTCGAGTCGCCGAAACACGCTTTCAGCTCCGCAACAAAAACGTCCCACGTCGTCAGTGTGTCCTCGTGGTTGTCGTACCACACAAGCGCAGTATCCGTAAGGCAGAAGACCACATTGCTGAGCTGAGCGGCGGCATCCCAGCCATTGGACTTGCTGACTCGCTTGTACTGGACGAGCCACGCGTCGAAATCTTCTCCCGATTTTCCTCAGAAGGTTGGTGGGGCTCGGTAGTAGGGCACGGAACCCATTGGAGTTGGCCTTGAAGCATTAGATGGCTGATCTTGGGCTATTACGATTGGCGCAGGCGGGAGTCCGGCAAGGCGGCGGCTGCGGCGAAGTCCTGGAAGTGAAGCTCCCGTCGTTGGATTTGTCTTACCCAGCACCTCCACCAATCTGTTACGCACAAGGAGGACCAGGACGTATACGGCTGAAGGGGGCCGTTTATTTTGGTCGTGAAGAGAAGCGCCGGAGCCGCCAACAGGTTTATGATCGCAGTGTCGTCGTCTTCCTTCTTCATCCAGCTTCGGGCAGCCAGCCTGTTTACCCATCTTCGTTTTCTTCCCAGGCATGCGCAACAATATGATCAAGCGTGCATACTTCTTTCTTACATGCCTTGCAAACAACATCCATATCTTTTATAACGTACCATTCTTTTACCTGTGCCGGTGAGTAATAAGACTGTGTCTGTAATTGTCTAAGTGTGACCGCTTGTGCTCTGTTTAGTCTACTGTGAGGGGGTGCAAACTCTCTCCTCCCCAGGTAGTAATGTTTAATAATTTCATTATATGTCATGGGCGTATCCCGTTGTAGATTTTCGAATCCAGCAGAATCAAAGCCACGTGTAAAAGCGTCCCGGTCCGTAAATTCGCGGGCAACGCTGTTGGCCGATTCATTTGGATTCATGGGAATGTCATCGAGTGATGCAAGGTGCGCTGGGAACCAATATATGTAATGTGTATCAATGGCCTGTTTACTATTAATAATTCGAACTGCTCGTGGTGTGATCCTGCCCCTGCTGAAGGCACTGATGGCTGGTTTTGAGTCACTGTATATCTCGGTGTATCGATCATCCGTCAGGGCCAACGCGATAGCAACCTGTTCAGCGACTTCCGGTTTGGAAGTGTAAACTGTGGCGCAGTTGGTGCCCATTACGTCTGCCTAAACTTGCTACCCTACGCGCCACGAGGATAGGGAAACTTCAAGCTGAACATTGCTTGCCCTTCGTCACGCGGGCACGCGTTATAAGATGAAGGGGATGACGTGCGACGATAAACGGCACCACGTAGTTGGCCAACATATAAAGCTGCGTTTTGGCGTAGCTTCCCTACATAGACATTCGTGCTCTGACCAGGATCATAAAGAGATGTTGGCCGACCAGAACTGTGCAGCCCCCGAAATTTTTCCCCTTGGCATACAGAGTGAAAAAATGAAAATTTTGGGCGGTGCCTCCCCTCCCCTGTCGTCAATTTATCATCGAAAAAAAAATTCTGCATACGCCCCTAGCTCGTGTCCCAGCAGTGTCACAGCAGCACGTGACGCGGCGAGAGTTATCCGAGGTGATATGCGTAATTTTTATGACCTGTTGTTCGAATCGAAGGGTGAGTTTGTACGCGGTTTTAGATGCGAACCAGCTCATGGCGGAGTTCGATCCGGTGGTGTGCAGCCTGAACACCTTTACTGCGCATGCGCAACAGCTGGCCCAAGCACTGCCACAACGCACTGAAGTGCTAGCGCGTTCTGACAGTGCTTCTGGCGTTCTGCCGCGTTCGGGCTTGTGCAACGGGCTTGGGTTGCTCTCCTCCTCACTCTCTCTCAGCAGTCACGTGATGGCGTCGGGGAACTAGATTCTGCAGGCGCTCCCACGTGGCGTGACAATGAAGCCGCGTGGCATGCTTCATGTCAAAGCACGATGCTCTTTGTTGACAACGTTAGGTTTTACGCAGCAAAACCACGATATTGTCACGTCACCTCAGAGGTCCAGGCGAGTTTTGTTGGTTGTAGAGCAGCAAGGCTCTCGGAAAAACGCGTCGTTTCAGTTAGCTCTCAAAAAGGACAGCTCGCGCACTTTTTTCTGTCGCAACCTGTGCCACTAGTCATGTATTTGACACACCACTACTGGGGGAAATGATATTATGAGAGACGTCGTAGAGGAGGGTTCTGAAAAATTTTGACCATCTGGTGTTCTTTAACGTGCACTAACATCGCACAGTACGTGCACGGCCCTCTACTATTTAGACTCCATCGAAATGCGACCACCATGGGCGGAGCGAACCCACAATGGCCTTCGGGTTGGCAGCCGAGCTCCCTAGCCACTGTTCCACTGAGGCTGACACCAGTATCAGGATGATTAGAAAATGACGATTTCGTCAGCCGATATGTCGTATGTTTTTTTGGTTCCGCTATAAGGAGGCACTGTACGTATGATAGGAAGCGGCTTCAACCTTTAGCCTCATCATGCTGGAGGTTAAACATTTTAAATAAATACTTACGATCTTCGTGAAGTTTACAAAAGTATGCCGTAGCTAGCTACTAGTAGTGCGTTGGCTCGGTGCTTCGAGCCGTCCACGAAATTGAGAACTGTGGCGTAGCCAGGGTCGGGGAGAGCTGGCAGTTCGATATATCAGTAAATTATGGCTCTCTATGGCCAACTCACCGAAGATAAAGCCAAGAAATACAAGGTAGGCACTAGGCGTGTCCCAAAGGGAGCAAGCGATGGCGCTCACTCCAGACACAAGCGTGGCTCCCGAGTTCAACGCTCGGGTGTCGAAGTATCTGACCAGAATGCCGACCAAGAAACCTGCAGGACAGAAAGAAACATTTTATTGCACGCAGGCCATAATGTACGCGGGCAACTTTGTAAGGCTAGTTTATTTGCTTTTTTTCAGAATACCGCAGACAGCTACGTTGCCCAAGCTGCAGCATACAAACGTGAACACAGCCTCTCAAACATGCTGTCAGGATTTCATACATCATGCCAACAAACATGAATATGTATTGCATGGCACTGGAGCGATCCTCTATGCACCAGTCCTACCCCGTACATGCCAGGTCGCCCTCGTGTCATCAAAAGCGCAACAAACGTTAGCTTCCAGCATGAGGCCAAATGCAGCACGTTATGTGTGTTCGCGTAAGGTTCTTACCTTGCGCCAGGTTGATGGTGTTGCAGATCTCGAAGGGCCACGCGGCCTGCTCGCGAGAGATGCGGAAGGCGGACACCAGGCCAACCAGGAGGACGCCAGCGCTGCGGAAGATGGTGGCTACCCATATCTGAATCCAAAAGCACATGGCGGCCATTAACCAGGCGTAGAGGCTGTCCACAAGGTGCGGCGCTGGCATGGTTCCGCTGCTCAGCGGCGAATACGCCATCACCGCGCGTGACGTTCCTTCTCTTCTCGAGCTGCGAACGTGAATGATGACGACGACGATGAGTAGATTAATGTATAATTGGCTCATGTAGTAACTATGCATTAATTAGGAAACGACTCCTAAATATTCCATTAGCGAAGCTAGGTTTAAATTTAACCACAGAAAATGTTCTAAGTTTTTGTGCCTCTGTTTTGGGAAATCGCCCCAGTGATCTATTCGATTCGGTGTGTAATTTTATTCAAGACTCTAAACGTTTTTCAGCCTAAAGCCCACGTTAAGAGATACTCAAAAAAACGGGTCGAAAAGTAATTTTCAATTCTGGATAAATCCGTGACATACCAAATTAATCGGGTTTGGCAAAACCAGCTGTCTGGTAGGCTCCCAAAATCAAGTTGTAGCTATTAGTGTCTACTTTGTTGTTGATTCTTTTATCTCACTATCTAAATTTTTGGTTTCTTTCTTTTTTTAACATACTGTCTTCACCATACAACTCCCCCCCCCCCTTTTTTTTTTCGTTGCAAGCAATAATGCAGTTATCGTCCATATGAGACTATATGTTCTCTTGGCCAATCCCCCAGAGTGGGTACGAGCCAGGGATTAGAGGATACAAACAAACATACAAACATGCCAAACGTATCCCATTGTGATCTTCAATCAAATAATTATTATTTAGTATCTAAAAAAGAAAATTCGAATTGGTGAGGTTAAATAAACGCAGCTAAGTGGTAATCACAATACATGAAATCTCAAAATTTCTCAAATTGACTTTTTAATTTTTTTCGTTTGCTCTTTTTATGCGGTTTTTCCTTACATTAGTCATATAATAATGCAAATTCTTTACACATAGTTATAATGCTGACAGAAAAAATGCACTACGCTTTCATGGCCAATCCCCTTGAGTGGGTGTGAGCCATGAGTCTAGGTGTAACAAACAAACAAACGATCAAACAAACAAACAAACAAACATGTCTATAAGAAAGAATTGGAGGAATGGATGTGTAGAATGAGACAAAAGTAAAAGGATATCCGTGCCACTATTATTGAGTAATTGATCAAACCTAATGACTATTCTTGCAAATTTTTGTCCATAATTTACAGCATAGCCGACTTAACTCCGTCGGGGTCCAGAGCAGCTGATGGAAAACTAGCTCACACCTGTAACAATTCAGACCCACAAATTTCTGTGAAGTCAGTCACACCTAATGGATAAATGTGTGGTGATAGTTGGCAAAAAAAGATGCTCCAACTCCTTGCCGATTACATTCAAAGTATGTTTTGGATGCGAAGTAGCCTGAGGCTACAGTGTACTAGAATTCTGATACATTGTACTATGGCTGAGCTTAATGTGGTGTGAGTATACCGCGCATGTGCAACAGCTGGCTCAACCACTGCCAGAACGCGCTCGCGCGCTAACGAGTTCGGGCCTGTATCAGGGACTGTGTGTGTAAGGGCCTGTGTGTGATAGTGGTGCGTGCTTGTAAGGGCCTGTGTGTGGCCTCTTCTCCTTACACTCTTTCAGCAGTCACGTGATGGCGTCGGGGAACGACATTGTGAAGACGCACGATGAACGCGCACGTGCTACCGCGTGGAGATGAACCCGAGTGGCATGCTCCAACAAGGGCGCGGGACGGGATGGTCCCAACTGACCCTCCTCCAGATTCAGCACTTGCTTTGTGTTCCATGTCATGCCTCCTGCCGAGTTTTCGACGATGGACGCCAACAAGGAAGCGTGTAACTCGAACACAGACATGTTCCTTGACACGTCGCAAACCTCCTCCACCTCGGCCCGACGCGCTGACCAATCCCGTACCGTGCCCACCACTACACGCAATGCGTGTAGCAAGGTCCTTCGACCACGGCGTTTCCGTGTCCTGTCAACTGGGCGCGAGGCCCACCACTAGAGGCGCGAGCGCTGCAATCGCTCTGACATGCAGGGTTGGATCACGTGATCTTGCCTCGCTCTGGCGAAGAAGAGCTGGCGGTTGGATGCGTTGCCTTTAACCGTGACTTCGCAGTGTTTTCATTTTTTAACAGCGTTCTATTGCTCTGGTTTAAAGGGCGCGAGCTTCTGCAGACCACACAATGCGAAAAATCGCAGTAAAAGTTACTGACGGTGTGCCACGTTTCACTGCGCATGCGATGCCACTGTCACGGCCGCTGGCAGTGCTACTGTACCCTCTCTCTTTCTTTCTTGTGGTTGTTTATTCGAGCCCAAGAGGTTAAAATAAGCAGAGACAATGAGTGTTCGCATAAAAGCAGATCGCCTCAGTTTTCACACGAGAGCCTCGTTCACAAAGAAAAATAAATGTGCAAATGATCTGACTATGTATGTCTTAAAATAGGACGTACAAGCATACATGTAGGGGAAGTTGCCTTTAATATATTAAAAATGTGCGCCATTGTCTGAATCGTCAGAGAGTCAAGATAGCCCGGAAGTCCAATTCTTTTCCCTTTACTTTAGTTATGTTCACCCTATTTCGATCCATTTCGTGGCCGGATTTCCATCCACGAGTGGCGTAACCAGGGGTAGGCACAAAAAGCGCGTGCCCCCTCCCCCCCTAAAAAAAATTCTCGGAATATATGCGCACAAAATATTGTGTACAGCCCCTTCCTGCCCAGGCCCAACTCTAAGTAAAGTGGGGCCGTATTCGACAAAAAATTCTGCCAACGCCCCTGCCATTCGCGACTTCACCTCACAGGTTTAATTCTTTGCCTACGGACAACGTCTGTAGAATGGGCTCGTTGCCACTGTAACTTCCTCTCAATGTTGTTTCAGTGTGCAGGGGAAAACGTGGTCAGCTTCGAGAACTGATTTATCTGTTAAGAGCTGCGCGAAATATAACACAGCTTATGAATAAAGCTGTAAAAAAAAACTGGACATGAGCAATTTCACTGAAACATGAAATTGCCGTTTAGATCGCGGTACGCAAGATCCAGAAGCATGCGCATTCAAGGACACAAAATGATACGCCAGGCTGATCGCATATTTTCATCATGATTTACCCTTTATAGAAGCTCTGGAACTGAACTAATCATGCATAATTTTCACCCACGTTTGGCTTGGTGGCGATCGAATGTGCATCGCGTGACCGCCATAGAAGTTTTGCGCAATGAATATTAGGATCGTGCCGCAGAGAAAAGTTAGATTTCTGAATGAGGCACGCGCGTGCGTGATTCTCACATTTGCTGATAACAAAAAGGCTGCGGCTGCATGAGGCTGTAATATTGCTGTGTTGCTTCCCGCAAAGCGTGGAATCCGCTTTCACTGTGCATCGTAGGGCTATGTGTGTTAAACAAAAATGTAATTTGCGCATGCTTTTCATGTCGACCGCGGCCCGTTTTCAGACGCAAACCTACAATGAATGAAGTAGCATGGTTGCACGCACTTCCAGCAGTCAAGGTAACTTCTTTGTTTTTTTACGATTAATACTCATTCGATACTTGATTTGGACACGGAATGAGCTTCCACCTCTTACAGAGCTAGGCAGCCCCCTAGGCCCCCGTGGTTCTCATTTAGGTGGCCATGGAAGACGACGCCGGCAGTCAGGCATTACGAGAAGCGTAAAACTTTTACAGGGCACTTATTTAGCACTTTGTACAGTCAGAAAAGAAGGTGGAGCAGTATTTCACTGATTTTGTTGAGGGGAGTTTAGGAAGTTAATAATAAAAATTGGTTCCAAATCTGCATGTTACACCGCAAATGTCGTCGAAAGATGACAGTCCTGCGTCTGAAGAGAGTGAACAAAACGTATTTTGATGTTCTGCGTATTGAATGGTATTCTGGAGGCGCTGCGTTAGAGTGCCTCGAGCGTGTAGCGGAGGCAAACGAGCGCATCGAGGCACGTTAGGCACAAGTGCCATCTGGCAGTTATCTTCGAAAACGAAGGCGTGCAGTCCGCGGAGAAAGATGCGCACCAGTTTCGGAGGTGAACGCAAAGCGACGGGAAGGTGCCACTATCGTGACGTCGTGGTGAAGCGTTGGAAACACCTTCTTGAGCATCGCGTTGCATTGTCAGCGCAGCGCGATAAACGCTACATTCGTCAGAGTTACTTATGTGTGATTCTTTTAGTATAAAGGCAGACATACAAAACATCGAAGCGTTGTCGTGGCGTCTCAGATATGCGCAATAATTTCTTTTTAATTGGCAATTGCACAGCTATGAACGCCAAACCTTGAGCAATATTGGTGGGCGCTGTGGATAGGGTTGGCCGTTTGATGCCGTTTGAGGTATCGTTAGGGTGGACGGACAGACAGACAGACAGACAGACAGACAGACAGACAGACAGACAGACAGACAGACAGACAGACAGACAGACAGACAGACCAAAAGTTATCCGTCGAAGGTCCTCAAGAAAGACTGTCGTCTTTAAAAGAAGACACGCCGAAGTGGCTGCGGGTTGCACGCGAAAGAGTGGCAGAGCAATCCAACCACGTACGTCACAGGGACGCCTCCGCATGGTGGCGCCATGGTATGTCCTCACGCCCAATTCCCGAGTAGAAACGCCGGCCACCATAAGACGCAAAGGAAGTTGTTGCACAGTGTCGCAGGTCCCGTTTATTAGGGAGGCGATCGCCGGGCTAATTCCAAGGGCCGAAGTAACGCCCCCCCCCCCTCTAACCGCACCACGAAAGCGTGGACAATTTAGAAGTGGTCCTATTTGGCGCGCCAGCGAACGCCGGCTGTGGCCCAAAGAACAAGTCAGAGCCGAGAGTTGATAAACAGAACAAAGTTATGTTCTCAATTATGGCAGATCAAATCGATACAAAAATATGCACACTCCACAATAGATGAATACCATACGTCACCTATCAAACGTACTACACGGTACAATCAGCCACACTCGAAACGACGGACACAAACAACAATACGCACTACAATGAAGTCGCATGCATCGAACAACCAAGACACTTAAAGACTAAAGAGTTCGAAAACTTATTCAGTCCAGTCCTTGGAACAAAAGTCTGAATG